GTGGAGGATAGGGATGGGCCTCCCACGACAGCCTATCTGACCCTGGGTGAACCGGTTGTTAAATTATTTGAATTTCACCACTGGTAGTCTCCCATTTGGAAGGTTGTGAGTTTAATCCTAGGCAGCAGCAGATGTTTCTCTCTTAAAGCGCAAAGAGAAAATATCTGCTGTGAACTCCTCATCGGCATCAGGAAGGGCATCTGGCCACTAAACGCTCAGCTCCATCCAATCGCCTCAATTCCATAAAAATATGTGCAGCTGCCATATTTAGAGTAGCTTTCCCCAATCTGGCCTACTGAAAGATGTTTATCTTCCTTCTCTTTCTCTTTGTGATTCCCCCCCTCCTTCTTTTCAGAAGTATAATAACTTCTGAAAATGGAAGTTTAACTTCCTTCCATTTAAATTTGTTGTTCAAAATGGTGGAAAGTTCCATTTCTACAGGGAAATGGGGACACAGGCTAAATTCTGCCATTTCCATGTTTGCCTAATCATTCACAGTATGATTGCATGGAATGTATTTCTACCACTAACTCTCAGATTCTGATACTGTTATCATTTCAATATATTTATAAGGTTCAACCAACAACCATGCCACGCTGTGATGTCTATTTTCAGCAACGAGGCTATGATTTCACAATTGAAAATGGGAAAATTGTCTTGAAGAAGATGAAAAAAAGGGGCAACAGAAAACTGACAGCTGGACCAGTAAATCTAATGTTTTTCTTAATTTTTTAAAATTAATATTTACTAGCTTGATACCCATGCTTCGCTACGAAATTATGTGGGTGGGCTTAGTTTTGGGGGAGGAAAATAAGGGGGGGGGGGGAATTTTGCCTCTGCCTACCAGGATCTATCAGTATTCATCTGGCTAGCATCCTGGTCAGTGTGTGAGAGAGTTGAGGGCTGTTTGGAAACTGAAGCAGTATTTGCTGTGTGAGCAAGAAGGAGAAAAGCAAGGAGTCTGGGTGTAGCTTAGCTCAACTGTTGTGTACTAAAGCTGCTTACTGCTGTGAAACTGAAATGGAAACTCCTCTCCTCTGCTTGTGTTTTGCATTTGGAAGAGATTTTGTTTCAGGTGGGGAGGGGAAGTAGAACTCCTCAGCATCAGAGCGTGTTAATAATAATAATATAGCAAATACTAATGCTCTGATGGTCATTTCAAAAAATCCTTTTTTAGTGAGCATCTAGAAGCCAAGAGGCAGATACTGGCCAAATTTCAAGTTTGTAGGCTTTACAGTTCTGGAGGTTTTGTGATGATGCATGAGTGGTATTTCGCTTTTATATAGAGAGAGATAGAAACTTTTTTTTCTGAAGCAACAAAAGACCAAAAAGCATGGTGCTTATTCTGCCAGTTTATTTGGATGCACTTGGCTACTAGAATAAAGGTGTTGTTTTAAAACCCTCTTTTAGAATCCGGTTCCGTTCAGCAGAAACCCGGCTCTGAATATTGTGATTAAAGAGGTTGTGCCTGGAAAACCCATGACATGGTCAGGACTGGGTTTTGTCCGTGTGCAAAGCAAAGCAGGATTACGTTTTTTGATCAACAACATTCCATTTCTGATGGACTTTAATGTTATTGTCCGTTATGAGCCAGAGGTAATTATTATATTCCTAATTATTTCAGTATCTTAATAGAGATCCAGACTAAACTTAAAACTGTCAGATTTATCTTGGTTGTCGTGTTTATATCCATTTTCAACTCTCAGTATGATGGATCCAAGGATTTTCTCATAGACTGCAATCAAAGAATGATCCCTGTTGAAACAAAAGGCCTTCGGATGTGAGGCGTATATACAATTGTGTGATTTTCTATCACCATTGATTAGAGCAGGGGTAACCAACCTTTTGGACCTCAGGGACCACCAAGCTCATAATTTTAAATCCCGCAGACCAGAGACCCTAGGAAAATCCTAACAAAAGTCTGCAGGAAAATTCCTCACCCCATTTTCCTACTGATCGATCAATCTTTATTTGGGATCACAGGATACTGTCTCCACCTCCATTCTCAGGGGGAGAGAGAGAGAGACTTTTGGCTTCAGACAAGGAAAGCAGCAGAAGTCTTTCTTTCTCTCCCCCCAACTCCACCAGAAATGAGTCTGTCGTGTGAGATTTGTCATGCCGGTGTAGCCTCTTGGAGCAGGATGCCTTGCAGGGTTGGACTAGATGACCTGCAACAAGGATCCTGCCAGCTTTGTTATGCTGTTAAAAATAATAAAGACAGGATAACAAACAAACAAACAAATAAATAAATAAATCTCAGTTCTGAGAGGGAGCAAAGTAGGTAATGCAAAGTCCCATATTAAATTTCAGCGTTGACTGAAGGTTTCTTATCTACTGAGCTCAAGGCTCAACAGTTGCTGCTGTGGAAGATATCATAAAGCAACAAGATGCAGGCGCAAAATTGCCACCTTGCCTTTTAGACAGACAGACACACACACACACACACAAACTCCCCTGTATGCTGATGCCATTGCAATTGTTTGTCCTGCCAAAAATGATTTTCTTTTGGGGAAGCATTAATTAACCAGGAGAACAATTATTTGTAAATAAAAGATATACCTTTCCAACCTCCATTGAGCAGGTGTTTCATTTCCTGGTCCAATAGCTCTTTTTTTTACATCTCTCATAAAGTTAGAAATATTTGCCCTTCGTTTGATCTTGGTGTGTGTGTGTTTTTTCCCCTCACCCAAACATCCAGGCTTCAGATGATTGGAGAGCAACTATTATTGTTAAGTCTTCTGGCTCTGTAGGAAGTGAACACTGCAAGAACCGAGTTGCTCTGGAAGAACCACAGTTCCTTGATTTGCCATCCACAAGGAGGTCTGGTATTCAGTTTTTTAAAAAGATAAAAAATATAATAGAATAGGAAAAGAAAACATAAGAATAAAATAGAACAGAATGGAACGAATAGAATAGAATAAGAAAACATAAGAATAAAATAGAACAGAATGGAATGAATAGAATAGAATAGAATAGAATAGAATAGAATAGAATAGAATAGAATAGAATAGAACAGAGTGGAATGGAATGGAATGGAACAGAATGGAACAGAATGAATAGAGTAAGGTAGGGCAGGGCAGGGTAGGGTAGGGTAGGGTAGGGTAGGGTAGAGTAGAATAGAATAGAATAGAATAGAATAGAATAGAATAGAATAGAATAGAATAGAATAGAATAGAATAGAATAAGAAAACATAAGAATAAGAATAAAGTAGAATGGAATGGAACGGAATGGAATCGTATGGAATGAATAGAATAGAGTAGAGTAAAATAGAGTAGGGTGGAGTGGAATGGAGTGGAGTGGCATTGCATGGAAATGAATAGAAAACAACAGAAAACACAATACGAATAAAATAGAACAGAATGGAATGGAATGGAATGAGTGGAGTGGAGTGGAGTGGAGTGGAGTGGAGTGGAATGGAATGGAATGGAATGGAATGGAATGGAATAAAATAGAATAGAATAGAATAGAATAGAATAGAATAGAATAGAATAGAATAGAATAGAATAGGAAAAGAAAAGAAAAGAATAAGAATAAAGTAGAACGGAATGGAACAGAACGGAATGAATAGAGTAGAGTAGAGTGGAGTGGAGTTGGGGTGGCATGGAATGGAATGGAATGGAATGGAATGGAATAGAAAAGAAAAAATAAGAGTAAGAATAAAATAGAATGGAATGGAACAGAACGGAATGAATAGAATAGAATAGAAAAGAATAGAATAGAATAGAATAGAATAGAATAGAATAGAATAGAATAGAATAGAATAGAATAGAATAGAAGAGGAAAAGAAAAGAAAAGAATAAGAATAAGAATAAAGTAGAACAGAATGGAATGATCCAGAATGAATAGAGTAGACTAGAGTAGAGTAGAGTATAGTGGAGTGGAGTGAAGTGGAATGGAATGAAAAAGAAAAGAAAAGAAAAGAAAAGAAAAGAAAAGAAAAGAAAAGAATAAGAATAAGAATAAAATAGAACAGAATGGAACAGAATGAGTAGAGTGGAATAGAATAGAATAGAATAAAATAGAATGGAATGGAATGGAAAGGAAAAGAAAAGAAAAGAAAAGAAAAGAAAAGAAAAGAAAAGAAAAGAAAAGAAAGGAAAGGAGTGGAAAGGAATGGAATGGAATGGAATGGGATAGGATAGGATAGAACAGAATAGAATAGAATAGAATGGAATGGAATGGAATGGAATGGAATGGAATGGAATGGAATGGAATGGAATAGGACAGGACAGGACAGGACTGAACAGAACAGAACAGAACAGAACAGAATAGAATAGAATAGACACGATTTGCCAGTTCTCTGAACTGCGCAGAATCATAACAACTGGTTCTATAGAACCAGTCCAAACCAGTAGAATCCCATCCCTGGAATAACTGCGTTTTTAAATCCTTAAATGATGCATTAATTCTTTTCAACAGAATTCAGTTTCTATCTACTCCGATATGCTTACAACCAAAGAGAGAATATTTTATAGATGTCTATTTTTCCAAGACTTTAGATCCAGAACCGGAGTCTCAATCCTCCATACTGGTTGATTCAGTAAGTAGCAATGATACAGTCATAATGTTTGTTTTCTGTTTGACTTAATGGATTTGGGGGATCGATTGCTTTCTATTATCTATCAATTTATCCCAACAGTTACACAGGTAGTCTTTGAGTTACAACCGCAATGGAGCCCAACACTTCCATTGTTATGTCAGACATTTGTTAAATGAGTTTTGCCCCATTTCATGACCTTTCTTGCCACCGTTGTTAAGTGAATCAATACAGTTGATAAATTAGTAATCCAGTGGTTAAGTGAATCCAGCTTCCCCATTGATGTTGCTTATCAGAAGGTCGTAAAAGGGGATCACATGACCCCAGGATGCAGTGACCATCAGAAATAGGAGTCAGTTGCCAAGCATCTAAATTTCAATCACGTGACTGTGGGGATGCTACAAAGGTCCTAAGTGTGAAAAATGGTTATAAGTCCCTTTTGTTCCAGTGCCGTTGAAACTTTGAATGGTCACTAAACGAACAGTTATGTTGTGGACTACCTATATTGCAATAATGTATTTGCAATAACGATGCATTTATATGAACTGTCAGGCAATAATTTTATTGTTCTGACCCAAACCTTGTTCCAAGGAAATAGACACGAAACAGAGGTAACAGCAAAACCTTTTAATGATTCTTTACGAATTCCGTTCCTTCATGGTTAAAAGGCTGTTTAAAACTAATTGTCTCTGACAAGAACGAGCCTTGCCAAGGTGATGCAAGGCTGCCAAGAACACTAGATAAAGTTACTAAGAAATATTTCCAACACAAAGAGTCTCCAAACACTAATGAAGATACTCCGAATGTCCACAAGGCTTGAGTGCAAAAACTTCTTTGCTTCCTACAAAGAACTCCAGTTTCTCAGATGGCTTTTATCTCTTGAGGGAGGGGCCATTTCCTTGCAGCCTTACTCCCACGTCACCTGCGCTGCTGCAGCTGCTCTTTCCTTCAAGCAGCCCTGCGTGCATGCACGTTGGGCATGGGCTCCTTGGGGACCTCTTCATCTCCACTGCCAGCCTCCACAATCTCCAAAGGCAGCACTCCACTCCCTGATGGTCCTGGCCCCATCCCTTCATCACACGCAGGCCCCTCATCTGAGTCCTCACTCTCAGAGATCTCAGCCGTCTTCACCTGTTGCTGGCGAACCACAACACTATTATCATTTCTTTCAACTGTTAAAAATGATACCAGTCGTAAGGCCAAATGACTGCAGGAGCCCTTCAAACATTGTAACTTTGAAACAGGGTCCTATGTAATTTGGGAGCATCTGTCGTAACTTTGGACATTCATTAAGTGATCTGTTGGATCTCGGGGACTAGCTGTATTCTTTGGTGTTTTGCGACTTCTATTAATGTTGTAGATCGGACTCCTCCCTGCCATCGCTTCTGTGGAAAACCTTTGCGATCAAAATGATTTAGAGGAGTTTCGGCAGTATCATTGCGTGGAAAGTGCCTCGGAAATCGGACCACACATTTTACCGGAAACCTGCGCAAAACTTATTGCGAGTTTGTCTGCCCGGATTCACAATGGTGCCGTCCGTAAGTCCTTGTCTTCTACCTGTTGAAATATTGTATCTCCTCTATTGTATTATCCACATATTGTCATGCTGTGATGACCTGGGGCGTGGCACAAAGGCAACAGTCAGATAATCAGTAGGAGTTCCTTTATTAGCTCCAACTTTACCCCCAATGTCCTGATTACCTTCTGGGCTAGAGAAAAACTCTCCCGGGAACAGCCTTTGGCTGCAGAGAATCAAGTCCAAAATGTGGTCAACAAAAACTGTAACTAGAAGTCCAATCAAGGCAATATGAGGTAATTAGTTCGGCAGGGCAGGAGCAAGAATTCCAGAAGTCACAGCAATAACTCCACACAGTTGGGAAGACACCAGGAACACAGATAACCAAAGTCAACACAAGATAAACTCATGTTTGCTCTCAGCAGCTACCGCACGCAGCCTGCATTTCTTTTAAACTCTCATTCCCAGGTGTGGCTAATGAAGGGAATCAGAGCCCTTTCCTCCCCCGTAAGCCATGCAACCCACATTGCTCCCTTCTCCGTTCCTCCCTGCATGCCCTAGGATGAAGAGGGGGTGGGCCTGGGTCTTCCTCTGAACACCCTCTCCCTTGTTCTACCTCTTCCCTGCTCTGCCCAGCCGGACTTTGCCCTTCCCCAATTTCCTCCACAGCCAACGGAGCCACCCTCCCACTCCCTGTCAGCTGTCCGGTTTCCTCCTCGGATTCAGACTCTGACAGGGGTATGCCACATGCCTTTGTCTGAGTATCTCTTATTTTGGGGGAAATACAGTTATAAAAAAGTATATTTCTCCCCAAAGCCTGCAGGTGCCATCCGCAAGGTTCCCTGAATTCCCACTGCACAAAACTTGGAGGCCAGTGCCAATGCAAGCCCAATGTTGTAGGACGCTGTTGCGATAAATGTGCAGCCGGGAGTCACAGCTTCGGGCCCCAAGGTTGCCTTGGTAAGTAACGATCTATGTCCAGTCCAATACACCAATTGTGACCTCTTTTTACTGAATATACACTTACCCTGAGACGTAAACCTATTGAACAAAATGAAATTCAAGGGTGAGAAATGTAAAGTACTATATTTAGGCAAGAATAACCAAATGCAACGTGGTACCTGGCTCAATAGTAGTAACTGTGAGGGGTGATCTTACAGTCCTAGTGGACAATCACTTAAATATGAGTCAGCTGTGTGTGGCAGCTACCAAAAAAGCCAACACAGTTCTTGGCTGCATTAACAGAGGGATAGAATCAAGATCACATGAAGCATTATTACCAAGGCTTTACAATGCCTTGGTAAGGCCACACTTGGAATCCTCCATCCAGATTGGATGGAGTATTCCAAGAGTCTTGGAGTCTTAGTGGACAACCAGCTAAATAGGAGCCAGCAGTGTACAGCAGCAGTCAAAAAAGCTAATGCAATCCTAAATTGTATTAACAGAGGGATACAATAGAGATCAAGTGAGGTACTAATACCACTCTATAAAGCCTTAGTAAGACCACACCTAAGAGTACTACATCCAGTTTTGGTCACCACATTATAAAAAAGATGTTGAGACTCTATAAAGTGTACAGAGAAGAGCAACTAGGATGATTAGGGAACTGGAGGCTAAAACATATGATGAATGGTTGCAGGAACATACCATGAATGGTTGCAGGAACTGGGCCTGGCTAGTCTAGTGAAAAGAAGGACCAGGGGAGACATGATAGCAGTCTTCCAATATTTATACATCTGTAGAGGAAGGGGCTCAGATAGGTTGAAGACTCCATAGTCGTCGTCCTCCTCCTCCTCCTCCTCCTCCTCCTCCTCCTCTTCCTACTCGCAAACCCCATTCCCTACTAGCACTGATGATGCTACCTAGTTTGGCAATGAAACGTCTGCAAGAAAACAACCAAGCTCAGAGAGCACTAAGGATTCCAGATTAACCAAATAAGAGGCCATCTAAAACTGTTGTCTTTTCTTTTGTCAATGTAGCATGTGACTGTCATCCTCAAGGATCAGTAGACACCCTGTGTGACCAGGTGACCGGACAGTGTTCCTGTCGACCAGAAGTAGCCGGCCAGCAGTGCCATCAATGCCTAGTTGGATATTTTGGCTTTCCCCATTGTCGTCCTTGTGCTTGCAACGGCTTCGCGGAACTTTGCAATCCGCAGACTGGAGCGTGTTTGAACTGCACAAACTTCACCACCGGATCTAACTGTGAAAGGTAAAGACCGATGGATAAATAACAGATAATCAGAGTTGGAAGGGACCTTGTAGGTCATCTAGTCCAACCCCCTGCCCAAGCAGGAGACCCTACACCATTTCTGACAGATGGAAATCCAATCTCTTCTTGAAAATCTCAAGTGATGACACTCCCACAACTTCCGAGGGCAACTTCTGTTCCATGGGTTGATTGTTCTGTCAGAAAGTTTCTCCTTATTTCCAGGTTGAATCTCTCCTTGTTCAGTTTCCATCCTTTATGCCCTGTCTGGCCTTCAGGTGCCTTGGAGAATAGCTTGACCCCCTCCTCTCTGTGGCAGCCCCTCAAATATTGGAAGACTGCTATCATGTCTCCCCTGGTCCTTCTCTTCACCAGACTAGCTGTGCCCAGTTCCTGCAACCGTTCATCGTATGTTTTAGTCTCCAGTCCCCTCATCATCCTGGTTGCTCTTCTCTATATTTCTTCTAGACTAAAGTCTCAACATCTTTTTTATAGTGTGGTGACCAAAACTGGATGCAGTGCTCTAAGTGTGGTCTTACTAAGGCTTTATAGAGTGGTATTAGTACCTCCCTTGATCTTGATTATATCTCTCTGTTAATACAATTTAGGATTGCATTAGCTTTTTGGCTGCTGCTGCACACGGCTGGCTCCTATTTAGCTGGTTGTCCACGAAGACTCCAAGATCCCTCTCACAGTGTCTGCTATTGAGCCTGGTTTCACCCAGTCTATATGTGTCCTTTTGATTTTTCTTACCTAAGTGTAGGAGTTTACTTTTCTCTACATTGAATTTCATTTTGTTAGATACGGCCCAGTGTTCTAGTCTGTCAAGATCCACTTGGATCTTGAGCCCATCTTCTTGGGTGTTAGCTATTCCTGCCATTAGTATCACCTGCAAATTTGGTAAGTTCCCCACCCCACTTCCCTCTGCAGGTGTGCATGTTTCTAGGTTCTGTTTTTGTAGTGCTTGTTTAAATTACTTCTCTAAGATGATGTTTTTAAGCTATTTTATGTGGTATGTTTTTTTAAATATTAACTATGTTTGGTGCAGGTGCTTGGATGGGTATTATGGAAATCCCAAGGAAAGAGAACCTTGTCATCCTTGTATGTGCCCAGATTCCCCAACCAGCAAGAGATATTTTGCACATTCCTGTTTCCAAGACCCTCAGACCAAAAGGTTAATCTGCAAATGCTTTGCGGGCTATTCAGGTAGGAAACTTTTGCCATCTTCAGATCACTTTTTGTGGCTAAAGGTTCGCAAAAACAGTATTTGATGTCTAGTCTAGGAAGCTATACCTCAAATGGTCTATGGACATTCTCAATCATCCAGGTCATGGTTGTCCCAAAGGTGCTTTTATTTTTTTTTCTCAAGAGGCAACTGGACTTTCTGGTTTTTCTTCTGAAGATGTTTTGCTTCTCTTCCAAGGAGCTTCTTCAGCTCTGACTGGCTGGTGGGGAATGGAAGGATTGGTACTCCTTGCAGACAGCTGGTCATTTGCATCCTTTTTAGTGGGTCGTTGAGGCCACTTGGAGGTTTAATCTGTGTCCTCAGGGTCACCTGAGTGGTGCAAATGGGCATGGAGTCTTTTTGGAACTGCTGAAAGGACTGTGTTGTAGACTGGAGATAAATGATGTCATATCCCTCTCCCTCTGTTGAGAAGGGGCTGTCCAATTTGGACATAGATGGTCTCTTGGATCCCCTCTTTCAAACCAGCAGTCCTCTCTGTCCAAAATGTGGACTTTGCCGTCTTCAAGAGAGGGGCCTGTGTCTATTAAATGAACCAAGGGAGACATGATAGCAGTCTTCCAATATTTGAGAGGCTGCCCAGAGAGGAGGAAGGAATCAAGCTATTTTCTAAAGCACCTGAAGGCCAGACAAGGAACAATGGATGGAAAGTGAACAAGGAGAGATTCAACCTGGAAATAAGGAGAAACTTTCTGACAATGATAACAATCAACCAATGGGACAGAAGTTGCCCTCAGAAGTTGTGGGAGCTTCATCCCTGGAGGCTTTCAAGAAGAGATTGGGCTGCCATTTGTCAGAAATGGTGTAGGGTCTCCCACTTGGGCAGGGGGTTAGACTAGATGACCTATAAGGTCCCTTCCAACTCTGATTATCTGTATCTGTATCTGAAGATGGACTGCTGAATCTAGTCCCGGTGGATTTGTTCTCCTATGTTGTGCCATGTGCTTGTGAAGTGGTTGTTTTGTTTACCCAACAATTATACTAGTTAGTAGGTTGCTCAGTGTTTATGGAGATTCTCAGTCATCCAAGTCATGACTGTCCCAAAGCTGCTTTTTCAAAAGGCAACGGAATTTTGTTTATGTTTGCTTGAAGATGTTTCTCCCTGAACCAAGGACTGTTTGAAATGAAGGGTGATCTCAGAGGTTCGCTGGAGTGAAAATAGGTTGGAAAATAGGTTGCTCTGAAAGCTGAGAGGTATCGTAAGTGGAACTGGGAACTGAGAAAGAATTGGGATTTCCAGCCCAGAACGAAGGAGAAATTTCCTGACAATGAGAAAAATGAATAAGAGGAACGGCTTTCCTCCAGAAGTTAAAACTCCAACACTGGAGGTTTTCAAGAAGAGGTTGGACAGCTATTTGTCAGGAATGGTATAGGGCAGTGGTCGCCAACTGGTGAGCCGTAGCCCACTGGTGGTCCGTGAGAAAATTTTGGAATCCACAGAGAAATGTCACCCGCAGAGCACCCCTTAAAGCAATTAATCCTGGCTGAGCAGGAACACAAGGCTGTGTGGCCCACATGGCTTGCGGGAACCCTCCCCGCCCACTCACTCCTTACCCGGCAAACTTGCCTGCTAAGTTGCTATTTTTCCTTTTTCTTTTTCCTGACCATCAGCTGTTCTACTGTGCCAGGAGATTTAGATTAGCTAGAAATCAGGAAATCATTGGATCTTTGGCTCTGCTTTTAAGACTGAAGCTTCTATTATTCAGTACAGACTCAGGTAGCCGATGGCAGAAAGATAGATCTCTGAGTGAATCTGTGATTCTGTGAGCAACTCAATCTGCCTGCCTGCTTTGCCTGATTTTGGGTAAAAGTTGCTCTTTTTTAAATGAAAAAAAATCAATATTTACATAAATATTTATAATATTTACATAAAAGCCATGCCCAGCCAGTCACATGACCACCAAGCCACACCCACAAATTAGACCATGCCCACAGAACTGGTTGTTAAGAGATTTGAATCCCACCCCTGCCTGTGTGTGTGTGTGTGTGTGTGTGTGTGTGAGTGAGAGAGAGAGGGGGAGGGAGGAAGAGAGGGAGATTAGATCAGATCTCTCTCTCTCTCTTCCACCAATGTCAGCAAGCCACTGTCAGTCAAAATTCATATTAGTGGTCCCTGGGATTTAAAATTATGAGTTTGGTGTCCCTGAGGTCCAAAAGGTTGGTGACCCCTAGTATAGGGTGTCCTGCTTAATCCAGAGTGTCGACTAGAAGACCTCCAAGGTCACTTCCAATTCTGTTATTCTATGTTCTAAAGCAAGAGAAAGCAGGAAACGTAAGTTTTTAATGCAATCTAGATTTTACTGGTAATTAATAGATTGGTTTTGGAAAAAAATTAGGCTCGTAATAACCAACCTATATACCAGCACATTTAATTAATTGTAATTGTGTATGACTTCCACATTCATAGGTGACCGCTGTGATAAATGCTCCAGTGGATTCCATGGAAATCCAAGTGCACCAGCAAATCAATGTCTTCCTTGTTTTTGCAATAACAACACGGATGTGGCAGACCCAGAGTCTTGCAACAAGGACACTGGAGAGTGTTCAAAATGCTTACACAACACTCATGGACCAAACTGTCAGTTCTGTAAACCTGGTTATTTTGGATCAGCACTTCTGAGGAACTGTAGAGGTAAGTAAGTGTGATGGAATGTGGTCTGGATTCCCAGGAGGAAGGGAGGGAGGGAGGGACTGAATACGGGGGAAGCAAGAGACGGTGAAATGTAACGTGTGAGAGAAAGAGGGTGAAGACAGCTGCTCCTTGATAGTTCCCTGAATACATATATATTTTATGATGCAAGTCATCTGCTTTAGTTTGGCAAGTTTTCGGTCTATAGATGAAGAACAATACAGGAAATTGTTTGAAGAACCTCAGTGTGTCTTTCTTCGCACAAGAACCAACTGGAATAGTACCAGGGATGAATGTCCATTAATTAAACACGGTAGTAGGAAGTGAATTGCTAAATGGATCATCGGGTGTGTCTTTGGTGCTCTCTAAACTTGGTTGTTTTCCTGTAGGCAGTAGTGGGATTCAGCCAGTTTGCACCGGTTTGCCAGAACTGATACCTAATTTTTTGTGGAGTTAGGCAAACCGTTTATGATAAATAAATACAGTATATAAATGATAAATAACCGCTTTGCCAGGGTGGGACCTGTGCATAAGGCGGCAGCCCAGGCAGGACCAAAGCGCCGGCAGAGCACCAGAGGGTCAGAAAAGGTGCTGAAACAAGTGGGGTTGTTGTTATTTGTTACTCCCAGAAACTTTTGTTTCCCTGCACATGATGGCGAGAAACGCGGCGGAGAAATGCAATGGTCACTCCATTTCCCATTTCTCCATTATAGCGCAGTGCCCAGGACCCATCTTGACAACCAGTTCTTCACCCTAATGCCCATTTTACTTAAAATGGGCATTAGGGCAGAGAGCCGGTTGGTAAATTACGTATTTGAATCCCACCACTGTCTGTAGGTGTCTCATTACCCAACTAGGAAAACATCGTCAGTGCTTGTAAGGAGTGGGGTTTGCTCTCAGTTTATATTCTGGTGGCTTCCTTTGTCAGTTTAGGTGGGAATGGTCTTAGACATTCTTTAGTTAGGCCGGGTGTCTGCAACCTTGAACACTCAAGGAGCCATTTGGACTTGTTTCCCACAGAAAAGAAAATACTAGGAGCCAATAATTTAACAACTGGTGTGACTGGGTGGGCGTGGCCAACTTGACATCACTCATTCCCGCCCAGTCACCTTCTGTTCTGGAATATGGAGTGAGTCTCCATCCCCCGCCATCACCCTTACCTTCTCTGGCCAGGCGAGGAATGATGGGGAGGGGAAGGGTGGGGCCAGCCAGTAATGGGATCAGCTGACAGGGAGTCGCAGCAGAGGGCTGAAAGAGCTGCATGCGGGTCCAGAGCCAGAGGTTGCAGATCCCTGGATTAGGCTGTTTGCTGTTAACTTGTTTGCCAGTTTCTTCACTGGGGTATTGTTTGCTTCTTGATTGAAGGTCTGATCTTAAGCTTTGGATCATCTTTCTATCATGATGTCTGATATCTTTTCAGAATGTAACTGCAACCTTTTGGGTGTGAATCCAGAAAAATGCCCACCTGGAAGTGACTTTTGCGCATGTGACCAGACCACTGGTGAATGCCCTTGCTCCCCTCATGTGATAGGCGAGAAGTGTGACCAATGTGCTCCTGGCTTCTGGAACATGGCCCAGAGAAGAGGATGCTGTCCCTGTGGCTGCCATCCCAAACGCTCCATAAACAACATTTGTGATCAGGCAAGATTCTTGACCTTAATGTATTTTTAAAATTAAAAGATATAGTGGAACGCCAGGGCTCAAAATTTATTAAACTGAATAATCTTATGATAATATGTAATGGTATGTGGGAATGACCTTGGGAAGCAGGAGGAAGAGCTACAGACTGGGCAGGCAGCATGTAAATGATTTCTCAGTCCTCAGAAGGAGGGAAGGCATGGTGAACATCTCAGAAGGGACCCTCCCTAGTAACTTGGACTGTAAAGGTGAGGGGCAAGAGATGTACTTGCAAGATTTTGTTAATGTTATCTTGCAACTGCAGATGGTGACTACAGCCATTAAATTAAAAGATGCTTGCTCCCTGGGAGGAAAGCTATGGCAAACCTAGGCAGCCTATTAAAAAGCAGAGTTATCACCTTGCAAACAAAAGCCCCTATAGTCAAAGTGTTAGAAATTCTGTATATAGCCCTATAGAACAGACAGTGCACAGTCCACATGTGCTTTTCTGCTTAACTGCCACAAAAAAGCAGGAAATTTCAGAGAAAAGACATAGAGTATACCACAGATGCAACTACAAACATATAAACACTGTCATCTACTGGTTGAAGAATATATATCTCTACTGAATACTGCTGTAGTTGTGCAAAATATATGAACACTGTATTCCAACACAAAGCTATGGTTTTCCCAGTAGTAATGCATGGCTGTGAGATTTGGGACCATAAGGAAGGCTGAGAGCCGAAGAATTGAGGCTTTTGAATTGTGGTGTTGGAGAAGAGAACTCTTGAGAGTTCCTTGGACTGGAAGGAGATCCAATCAGTCGATCCTAAAGGAAATCAATTCTGATTGTCCTTTGGAAGGACAGATTCTGACTCTGAAGCTCAAATGGCCACCTAATGAAAAGAGAGAGCTCCTTAGAGGAAAGCCAGATGTTGGGAAAGAGGGAAGGCAGACAAGGAGATGTTTAGATAGTATCATCAATGCAATGAACATTAATTTGAGGAAATTCCAAGAGATGATGGAGAACAGGGAGGCCTGTCATGCTGTGATAAATAAGGTGGCTAGAACAAAAACAACAACAACTGAACAACAACAACAAACAATCTTACAAGAGAGTTGGTACTCTTCAACAGAGTTGTGCTTCTTGTCTGGACTAGCAATAGCAATAACTCTAAGGCTTATATATTTCTTCACAGTGCTTTACCGCCCTCTATAAGCGGTTTACTGAGTCAGCCTCTTGCCCCCACAATCTGGGTCCTCATTTTACTGACCTCAGAAGGACAGAAGACTGAGTCAACCTTCAGCCAGTCAGGATCAAACTCCTGGCAATTGGCAGAGTAAGCCTGCAATCCTGCATTTTAACAACTGCACCACTAGGAAGGAGAACGAGAAAGGGAAGACGGAAAGAAAGAAAGAAAGAAAGAAAGAAAGAAAGAAAGAAAGAAAGAAAGAAAGAAAGAAAGAAAGAAAGAAAGGAAGGAAGGAAGGAAGGAAGGAAGGAAGGAAGGAAGGAAGGAAGGAAGGAAGGAAGAGCAATAGCACTTATATACCGCTTCACAGTCCTCTCTAAATGATTTACAGAATCAACCTATTGCCCCCAATAATCTGGTCCTCATTTTACTGACCTCGGAAGGACGGAAGGCTGAGTCAACCTTGAGCCAGTCAGGATTGAACTGCCAAACTGTGCAGTCAGCAGATGTAACCTGCAATACTGCATTCTAACCACTGCACCACCACGGTTCCTACTTTGAAGAGCTGATTTGTAAAATGGAAATAAGCCATGATTTTCCACGATCTGGATCTAGCTGAAATACAATGACTTCACTTGTTTCCCCCCACACCCAAGTTCTAACTATAGACCCTTTTTGTAGTTTACAGGCCAGTGTCCGTGTAACGCCGGTTACGCCGGAAGACGTTGCGACATCTGTGCTGAAAATCATTATGGCATCGATTGTATCGGTAAGTGGACCAACGTTTGCTAGACTTATATGGTCTAACAAGAGCCCTAGAACTTTGGCGTTACAGCTGGTCCCTGACTTACAACAATTCAGTTAGTGACTGTTCAAAGTTACAAGGGCCCTAAAAAAAGGGACTTGGGACCATTTTTCACACTTACACAGCATCCGTCGCAGCATCCCTAGTTAGGGCATGTCAAAAATGTTTCAGCTTTCACTTTCCAACTATTAGGGGTGCTCAAACGTGGTGGCATGCTTTGGGGATTGTGATGACCCAGAGTGTGGTACAAAGGTAACACAGTTAGATAAACAATAAGAGTCCCTTTATTATCTCCAACTTTTTCCCCAATGTCCAGGTTACCTTCTGGCTGGAGAAAAACTCTCCCAGGAACAGCCTTTGGCTGCAGAAAATTCAGTCCAAAACAAGGTATCCACAAATTGTAACTTAAAATCCAAACAAACCAAAGTAACGTAATTAGTTTGGCAGGGCAGGAGCAGGAATTTCAAACTTGAAAGCACAGCAAAACTCACATAGTTGGGAAGACACCAAGAACACAGATCAGCCATGATGATACAAGATAAAGTCATGTTTGCTCCCAACAGTTTGCTGCATGCAGCTTTCCTTTTTTATACACTGTGTTCCCAGCTGCAGCTAATGAAGGGAATCAGAGCCCTTTCCACCCCCATAAGCCATGCAACCCACATTGCTCTCTTCTCCATTCCTCCCTGCGTGCCCTAGGATGAAGAGGGGATGGGCCTGGGTCTTCCTCTGAACTCCCTCACCCTTGTTCTACATCTCCCCTTGCTCTGCCCAGCCAGGACTTTGCCTTTCCCCAGTTTCCTCCACAGTCAATGGAGCCACACTCCCACTCTCTGTCAGCCGTTCGGCTTCCTCCTCCAAGTCAGATTCCGACAGGGGCATGACAGGGATTGTAAAGATATTTTATATCGAAACTTTTAAACATGTTTGCTTGTTTCACACGATAACAGGATCAAAAGTCCGACACTTGGCAACTGACTCATATTTATCATGGTTGCAGCGCCCTGGGATCTTCTTTTGTGACCTTTGCACATGCAAAGTCAAAGGGGAAGCCGGATTCACTTCACAATCCTGGTACCAACTTAACACCTGCAATGGTTCACTTAATAAACATGGCAAGAAATGTCATAAAATGGGGTCAAAATTCATTTAATAACTGCCTCACTCAGCAACAGAAATTTGGGGCTCAAATTTTGTTTGTAACTCAAGGATGACTTGCAATTAAGGCATAACAGGTAGCAGCTTGTTGCTAAAGCCCTCTTGATCTGTGGGGTGGTAACACCTATCATCCCACAGCCAGATAATTATGCCTAGAAAAGATGGGCATTGTAGTCCAAACACAGCAGGAAAGGAGCAAATAAAAGAGGCCCATGTAGTGTGATGACCTAGACTGTAACACAAACGTAATAAAATCCAAAATGTAAATAAATGTTCTTTAATGCCTCCAACTTGGCCCCACTGTTCAATAATTCTCAGTTGGAGATAAAACTTATTCAAAAATAGTCTTCAAAAGAAAGCAATACAGTCTGAACTTAATGAGCAGATAGAGGTGAAATAAAAAACTAAAACAAACTACAATGAAGGAATTTCCACAATGGACCAGGATAAGTAATTACCAACTTCAAGGAGATAACAAGGCACAGTCTGTTGGAAGGACGCCAACCAAGATAACTTCAGCCCAAATAACACACGCTTTGCTTCTGGCAACGGTGTGTTTTAACCGTCTCTCTTATATACTATTCCCCCCAGCTGCAGCCAATGAGAGGGGTCATGGCCACATCCTCTCTCATAAGCCAAGTTGTTTCCTTCTCCGTTCCTCCCTGCATGTCTGAGGATGAAGAGGGGCCTGGTTCTTCCTCTGACTGCCCAGCCGGCCTCTGCCCTTTCCCAGCCTCCTCCACAACCTCTGGAGCCACACCTCCACTCCCTGTCGGCTATTCCTCCTTTCCCTCAGAATCTGACTCTAACAAGGGCGTGACACGTGGGGTACACTCATATAACTAACAACCTTAAATTACAGGTTGACTATTCAACAGTTCACTTAGGATCCGTCTGAAGTTAGAATGGCACTGGAAAAAAGTGATTTAGGACCATTTTTCACACTTACGACCATTGTAGCATCCCCACAGTAAATGACTTACGTTGGTATGCTTGACAAATGGCTCACATTTACGACGGTCACAATGTTCCAGGGTCACGTGATTGCCTTCGGTGACCCTTCTGGAAAGCAACGCCAAGTGAATCCAGATTCACTTAGCAACCGTGCTACTAACTTAACAACCGTAATGTTTCCACTTCATAATGGTGGCAAGAAAGTTGTAAAATGGGACAGCCCTCACTTGACAATTTTCTCACTTCGCAACATCAATTTTGAGCTCAATTGCTGTCGTAGGTTGTTTTTCTTTTTTTTAAGTTTTTGATTTTTGATTTTTAACCTGAACGTATCATCTTCTGTTAAACAGTATGTTGTCTGGCTAAAAATGTCTATGTGCTATTACAATCCAAATGTACAGTATTGTATACAGCATTGATAATAATTCTCTAATCTTATCATAATAATCATCAGCATTAAGACTCTATTCATGTCTCCCTCTTAACATATCTTTTAATGGAAATATAATATTACTAGCTCAATACCCGTGTTTCGGTACGAAACTATGTGGTTGGGCTTAGTTTTGGGGGAGGAAAATAAGGGGGGGAAATTGTGTCTCCACCTACCAGCATCCATCAGTATTCATCTGGCTAGCATCCAGTCAGTGTGTGAGAGAGTTGAGGGCTGTTTGGAAACTGAAGTATTTGCTATGTGAGCAAGAAGAAGACAGCAAGGAGCCTGGGCATGGTTTAGTTCAACTGTTCTGTACCAAAGCTGCTTGCTGCTGTGAAACTGAAACTAAAACTCCTCTCCTCTGCTTGTGTTTTGCGTTTGGAACATATTTCTTTTCAGATGGGGAGGGGGAGTAGAACTCCTTAGCATCAGAGCATGTGAATAATAATAATAATATAGGAAATACTTTAAATGCTCTGATGGTCCTTTCAAAAAATCCTTTCTTAGTGAGCACCTAGGAGTCAAGAGGAACATAGGTGCCAAATTTCAAGTTTGTAGGCTTTACGGTTCTGGAGATTTTGTGATGGTCCGTGAGTGGTATTTTGCTTTTATATATGTAGATCAGGGATCTTCAAACTTTAAGACTTGTGGACTTCAGCTCCCAGAATTCTTCCTCCAGTCATGTTAGCTCAGGAATTCTGGGAGTTGAAGTCCACAAGTCTTAAACTTGCCAAGATTGAAGACCCTTGATATAGATAATAGGTATAATAATCTTAACAATCGTATTAGTCATCATCATATTGTTTATATCTCTATCTTAACGTATTTTCTTTATTTTACTAATCTCCATTCATTTCTCACTTCTGTTTTTATTCTCCAACCCTCCATCAAATAGCTCCCACGTCATATAATACTGTATTTAGTTTGTTCTTTCTCCTTTATAGCAAGCGTTAATCTGTTCATTTTCTGCACATTCTAATATTTTCCTAATCACATTCTCATCTCTAGACTCCCTGCATTGCTTTACATTTTTTTGATGATTTTTCATCCTTTTCCTTTGAACACTATTGTTTCTCTTTTCCTCAGAATGTAAGTGTAACAAGGAGGGAACTCTGATTCCCACGTGCGATCAAGACACTGGAGTGTGTCACTGCCGGACTGGCTTCACCGGAAAGCACTGCGATCAGTGTGCACGCAATCACAAGCAAGAATTCCCCTCCTGTCCTCGCTGTCACGTTTGTTTCGATCAGTGGGATAATATCATGAATTCGTTGTCGCGGAGGATTCAAAAATTATTGAAATTTGCCGCCACGCTAGCAGAGAAGAGGAAAACTACGCCGGGCTGTGATTTCAACTTTAAAGGCTATGAAAATAAAATTGCAGACTTAGAAAAGGTCTTGAAAAGCTCGTTCCTGTTTTCCGAGACAATCTTGGATATTAAAAAAGTCCAGGACAATATTAGGTAAGTCTTGTTTCCTACTTTTGCATCAAGACAATTTCTTGTGTGTCCAATCACACTTGGCCAAAAAAGAATTCTATTCCTATTCCTATTCCTATTCTATTCTATTCTATTCTATTCTATTCTATTCTATTCTATTCTATTCTATTCTATTCTACTCTACTCTACTCTACTCTCAATTCAATTCAATTCCATTATACTATTCTATTCTATTCTACTCTACTCTACTCTACTCTACTCTACTCTCAATTCCATTCAATTCCATTCTATTCAATTCCATTATTCTATTCTATTCTATTCTAGTCTAGTCTAGTCTAGTCTAGTCTAGTCTAGTCCAGTCCAGTCTATTCTATTCTAGTCTATTCTCCATTCAATTCCATTATTCTGTTCTATTCTGTTCTATAGGTAGTCCTCAACTTATGACCACAATTGAGATCCCCAATTTCTGTGGCTAAAAGAGACATTTGTTAAGTGAGTTTTGCCCCATTTTATGACCTTTCTGGCCATTGTTGTTAAGTGAAACACAGCAGTTGTTAAATTAGAAACACGGTTGTTAAGTGAATCGGGCTTCCTCATTGACTTTGCTTGTCAGAAGGTTGCAAAGGGGATTGTATGAGCCTGGGACACTGCAACTGTCATAAATACGAGGCAGTGGCCAGTTTTGGATCATGTGATCACGGGGAGACCACATCGGTCATAAGTGTAAAAAACAGTTGTAAGTCCACTTCGAACAGTCACTAAATGAACTGTTGTAAGTCTAGGACTACCTGTGTTCATTATGTTTGATTTTATTTTTCCAGAAGAACTGGAAGAGCCTTGATGGCACAGTGGTTAGAGTGCAGTACAGCAGGCTATTTCTGCTGACTGCTGGATGACTGCCATTTGGCAGTTCAAATCCCACCAGGCTCTAGGTCAGTGGTGGCTAACCTTTTTCAGCTCCCATGCCAATAATTGAGCGAGCGCTCGTTTGCGTGCGCTTGCATGCCAGTACCCAGAAGGCAAAGCGTGCTGGCCCCCCCAGGCCCCCTGCACCTGTGCCTGCACCCCCTTGCATGCCACATGTCTCTGTGCATGCAATCTCTCCTTGTGCGCTGCGCATCTCTGCACATGTGCATGAGACAACCCACGTGTGCTGTGCATCTCTGTGCATGTGTGTGTGTGTGTGTGTGTGTGTGTGTGTGTGTTGAATGGCAGGGTCTTATTTTTGGGGAAACATGGTAATAGTTGACCTATTGTTCTTTTCCAGGCAAACAGTTTCTCACATGTTTCTGCAACCTGGCACACTGGATCAGATTCCTGATTTTGACAGCATAATTGAAAACTTGCAGAAGGATGTTGACAATCTCTCTGAAAGCCTGCAGAAGACAATGGAAGTGCATCGCAGGATGAATTACTTGCAATTCCAGGGTAAGCAGGAACTAAGAACATAAAGTTTTTACTGATCGAAAGTATGTCAAACTATCTTTCATAAAAAGCTGAAATATGGAGTTCATTCATAGATCATTTGGGAGGGGAAAGCTTGTTATAGGAAGTTCTCAACTTATGAACATTCATTTAGTGATCGTTTGAAGTTACAATAGCAGTTTAAAAAGTGATTTATAGCAATAGCACTTTTATACCACTTCATAGTGCTTTACCACCCTCTCTAAGCGGTTTACAGAGTCAGCCTCTTGCTCCCAACAAACTGGGTCCACATTTGACCAACCTCAGAAGGAAGGAAGGTTGAGTCAACTTTGAGCCAGTCAGGATTGAACTCCTGGCAGTGAGCAGTGATTTAGCCTGCAATACTGCATTCTATCCACTGTGCCACCGGGAAGAAGAATGAGAAAGGGAATAAGAGAGGAAGGGAGGGAGGGAGGGAGGGAGGGAGGGAGGAATAATCTGGGCCCTCATTTTACCAACCTCAGAAGGGTGGAAGGCTGAGTCAACCTCGAGCCAGTCAGGATTGAACTACTGGATGTGAGCAGAGTCAACCTGCAATCCTGCTTTCTAGCCACTGTGCCACCAGGAAGGAAAATGAGAAAGGAAATAAGAGAGGAAGGCAGGCAGGCAGGCAAACAGGCAGGCAGGCTGGAAGGAGCCGGTAAATCCCACCACTGTCTTCCCCCCTCACCTTGCCTCTCCCAGGAGTCCCCACATGGCCCGTTTTGGATGCCGGGTAAGCACAGGGCCCATGCGGAGGCTCAGGGAGAGCGAAAAATGGGCCTCTTGGAGGCTCCAGAAGGCTGGAAACAGGCCCATTTCCAGCCTCCAGAGGGCCTCTGGAGCCCAGGGAGGCCATTTTTGCCCTCCTGGAGGCTCGATGAAAGTCTCCGGAGCCTGAGGAGGGCAAAAACACCCCCACCCCATGGTGCAAGAGGCAGGCTAGGCCACGCCCACCATGGCCACACCCACCCAGCAACCGGGCAGAGAACTCATTGCTAAGATTTTTGAAGCTCACCCCTGGATTAGATGCTATGTTGAAATGGCTCTCATTCGACCTGCAGATTTTTTCGACAAATTAAAGAATTATCATCAAATCATGTTGGCTGCTGAGAAGAGAACCAACGAAACCAGATCCCTCCTAGTTCATGGGGGAGAAATAAGGAGCAATGCGTCTGCCCTGCTGAATGACCTGGGAGTAAAGGAGAACGTTACACTGAGTCACCTGAAGACGTTCACAATGTCAGAAATTGAAAATATCAATGGAAAAGTAAGACAATTAATTTCTTGCAGAGAGAAAGGCTAAATCAGCTAAATCTCTGGGAAGAGGATATATTAGGAATAGAGCTAATGAGAAATTACATACGGGTGGTTCCTTGACCTACAACAATTCATTTAGTAACTGTTCATAGGTACAACGGCACGGAAAAAAGTGACTTGGGACCAGTTTTCACACTTATGCCCGTTGAAGCATCCCCACGGTCCCGTGATCAAAGTTCGGGCACTTAGCAATTGACTCGTACTTATGATAGTTGCAGTGTCCCATGGTTACATGATCCCCTTTTGCGACCTTCTGACCAGCGGCGTCAATGGGGGAGCTGGATTCACGTAACAATGGTTGTTACTAACTTAACAGATGCAGTGATTCATTTAACAACTGTGACAAGAAAGATTGTAAAATGGGGCAAAGCTCATGTAACAAATGTCTCATTTAGCAACAGGAATGCTGGGTTCAATTGGGTTGTAAGTCAAGGACTAACTGTATGTTGTTCTTATAGTAAGCTGACCTGAGACATATTATGTCAGTCCATTTAAAAGGTTTTTACCTGAGATGTTAGCTAGCGTACACTATTTTAAACATTTTCAGAGCTGATGATATGTCACAGAACAGAATAACAGTTGGAAAAATAGAATGGAATAGAGTAGAGTAGAGTACAGTAGAGTAGATAGAGTAGGATAAAAGGTAGGGTAGGGTAGAGTAGAATAGAATAGAATGAAAAGTAAACTAGAATTGAATGTAGGGTAGGGTAGAGTAAAGTAGAGTAGAGTAGAATAGAAGGTAGGGTAGGATAGAATAGAAGGTAGTGTGGGGTAGAGTAGAGTAGAGTAGAATAAAATGTAGGGTAGGGTAGAATATAATAGAACAGTAATAGGAATAGAGAAGGGAATGAGAAGGGAAGGGAGGGAAGGGAAGGGTAGAGGAGAGGAGAGGAAAGGAGAAGAGAAGAAGAATGGAAGGGAATAGGAAGGGAAGGGAAGAGTGTAAAGTAGAGTAGAATAGAACAAAATAGAATAGCACAGTTGGAAGGGACCTTGGAGGACTTCTAGTCCAACCCCCTGCTCTGGCAGGAAACCCTATACAATTTCAGACAAATTGTTGTAATTAAATGTGAGTTAATCATGATCATCTCCCTGGTAGATTTGGGCTGCAGAATGAAAACACACTGAGTTATGTTTCTGCTGATCACTTCACTATGAATGCCTGACTTGTGTTTTCATGCAGGTATGTGGGATGCCAGGAAACATCTCTTGTGCCATGGCAGAGTGTGGCGGGGCTTTATGTCGTGACAGGCAGGGCAACAAACATTGTGGCGGTCCAAACTGTGATGGAGCACACCCCGTTTCTACCAATGCCTTTAGAAAGGCTGATCTCACGGGCCAGCTGTTAAGTAACCTAACTAATCAGGTGCAAGGATCTCAGAATAAGGTACTGTATGTTAACACTTATGTTTGTTGCAAGCTCCTGAGCTCCAAAAGTTTTTCACAGTTCTTGAAATGCGCAAGAGACAGATTGCAATAATCCCTGTTAATAGATGGAAAGATAATTGCAAAAGATTGTTAGAAGGCTGAGGAAGAAACCACAATAACAGAATATGCTATTTTGTCCTGTAGAGTTTCCTGTTTCCTGTCACAGTAAAATAATTGAGCATTAAAGCAGGGGTCCCCAACCACCGGGCCCCGGACCGGTACCATTCTGTGGAACATTTTCTACTGGGCCGCTGGTTTGCTGGGCGCCGCCATCTTGTTTTGATGAGAAAGTGCTTCCGGTGAGCTTTTCCGGTTGGAAAGCGGTGTTTGAGTCCTGAAGGAATCCTCACGCCTTAGTTTCATCAAAGGGGGGGGGGGGGCAGCTTCGAACAAAACTAAGGCGTGAGGATTCTTCCAGCACCCAAGGCAAGGTGAGCCGAGTGACTGTCCCGAAGCCATCCCGAAGCCCATCGACAAAGGAGGAGTTGAAGATAGCGGGGAGAAGTGAGGGACGGCTGGCTGGCCAGTTGCTCAGCTCGCCTTGCCATGCGTGCTGATGCCAGTACCGGGCTGCGGATCATTTTGTGATGCCGGTACCGGGCCGTGGCATAAAAAAGGTTGGGGGCCACTGCAGTAAAGCACATGGTGACTGTGCTCTTTGTTTGCTCTGTGGTGCTTTATATAAACAGAATTTCCTACACAAATACTTACGTTTCCTGCTTCCTCTTGCTTTAGAACATAGAATAACAGTGTGGGAACAGACCTTGGAGGGGTCTCTTCAAACACTGCTCAAGCAAGAAACTCTATACGATTTTGGACAAATGGCTGTCCAATTTCTTCTTAAAAAACCTCCAGTGTTGGAACACCCACAACAAAACCAGAGGTGATGGTTTTTGTTTGTTTGTTTGCTAGGAGTGCTCTAGACATAAAGCATCAACAAATTGAACAATGTGTTAGTAGCTTATTTAATAAATGGCAAATCAGTCCAGCTAAGGTACATAAATCCTGTGAAGAAGACATCCAGAACTTCCAAATATGGTCTGTCTTAATGCTCTCAGATCTCTTCAGGCTTCTATAATACTTTCCAAATTTTTGTACCTTACTGCTAATTCTTGTATTAAAAACTTCTTATGAAGAGCTATGCAATTCTTACTTCCTTGATTGTGTCCTATTGTAAAGGTGTTGACACTAAGGCCGAGAGATAGACATGTGTTAGTAACTAGTAAGTCAATAACTGAAATCGGATTCGATTTTTAACATGTGCCATGTCTCTTAAAATAGCAGAGTACAGAATAATAGAGTTGGAAGGGACCTCAAAGGTCTTCTAGTCCAACTTCCTGTTCAAACAGGAAACTCTATATTTCAGATAAATAGTTGTCTAACCTCTTCTTAAAAACTCCAGTGTTGGAGCACCACAACTGGAGGCAAGTAGCAAATAAACTTTCAAAGGACTTTGTGATGACCTGGGTGTGGCGCAAAGGCATTGCTGTCAGATAATCAGTAGGAGTCCCTTTATTAGCTCCAACTTTGCCCTCAATGTCCTAGTTACCTTCTGGGCTGGAGAAAAACTCTCCCAGGAACAGCCTTTGGCTGCAGAGAATCAAGTCTAAGATGTGGTCAACAAAAACTGTAACTATAAGTCCAATCAAGGCAAGATGAAGTAATTAGTCCAACAGGGCAGGAGCAAGAACTCCAGAAGGCACAGCAATAACTCAACATGGTTGGGAAGACACCAGGAACACAGATAAGCAAAGTCAGCACAAGATAAACTCACATTTGTTCCCAGAAAACGCCGCTCTCAGCTGCCTCTCCTTTAAACTCTCTTCCCAGGTGTGCCTAATGAAGGGAATTGGGGCCCTCTCCTCCCCTGTAAGCCATGTACCCCACGTTGCTCCCTTCTCCGTTCCTTCCTGTGTGCCCTAAGATGAAGAGAGGGTGGGCCTGGATCTTCCTCTGAACTCCCTCTCCCTTGTTCTACCTCTCCCCTGCTCTTCCCAGCCGGACTTTGCCCTTCCCCAGTTTCCTCCACAGCCAACAGAGCCACCCTCCCACTCCCTGTCAGCTGTTCATCTTCCTCCTCAGATTCAGATTCTGACAGGGCGGCATGACAGACTTTCACAATTTGTGCAATCTTCCACTGCTGATGTCGTTGAAGAAGCTCTCTTGCACTATTGAGCATAACACATGGCTCCTGCACGATTGTTCTCAAGAAAAACAGTTAATGACCTAGTTAATAAATTATCCAATTTATACAGGATTTGTGAATGAGTCTCCAACAGTATAGTTGGCCTGCACCAGAAAACCAACTGTTCTGGATTATAGTGTCTACATGAGCTTCTGTCCCTGTCTCTGGAGAAAGCAGATGTTAAATGTTCTCAGTACTGAAATAGGTCCAGTACAAAGAATCTTTTTTTTTTTTAATTACAGAAATGACATGGAAACTATGCTACACCCACAAATCAGGAATGTAGGGACTGTGTGGGAAGAGAGCTATGCTGGTTTTGTTTATTCCCATCCCTCTTTCCCTGATTAACTCCCTTCCTCCAGTGTGGTATTTTTCCTACAGTAAGGAAGCTAACAACCAACCATTCACAGTGGGCTATTTTTAGAATGGTAAAAATAGACACTAGGTCAGAGGTAGTATTCAGCAAGTTCTGACCAGTTCTGGAGAACCGGTAGTGGAAATTTTAGGTAGTTCAGATAACCAGCCAATACCACCTCTGACTGGCCCCGCCAACCCCATCTATTCTCTGCCTCCCAAGTCCCAGCTGATCGGCTGGGTCTACTTTGGTTGCCCTGCACAGGAGGATGGAGCTGGAAAGCAGGTTAGTGGGGTGGGATGGGAATAGAGATTTTGCAGTCTCCTTCCCCTGCCACGCCCACCAAGCCACACTATGCCCACCAAGCCATGCCCACAGAACCGTTAATAAAATTTTTGAATCCCACCATTGTACTTGTAGTATTATGATTCTGATTTTATATATGTCTAACATGTGGGTATCAAAAGCTATTTCCCCCCAGGCAAAAATCATCTGGAGGGGGCAGGTTAAAAAAGTCAAACTTGGTGGATTCACCTGTGCAGTCGTATCCACCATTTTGTAGGAGAAGGAGCGCAGAACCTGAGGGTGGAGTGAAAAGAGGTAGCAGCCTAGAATCCTTACATAGTCACAATTGAACTCCCTTGAATTCCATTGACCCTGATCTAACTCTATGCAGGTGCTAATGCTTAGTTGAGAGGATGCATAGGCTGTTTAGCAATGAATCAATTTAATTAGATCTTCCTGTAGGGAGCTGATCTTTCTCACCCGATAATTTTAACTTTTTGACATCACTTCCTCTCCTAAAATAATTTATACCTCTGGCCTTTGGATGAGTTCAGTCAATCACTTTAAAAAAACACATCCTAAAACCTACTTTTGCTTTAATCCAGGCTTAGGGTTAGAACTGAAAAATGGATCTAGAAGTTATGGGGGAAATATTATCATCACTTTGTTTTTTCCACCACCAATAAAACTGATAATAAAAGAAAAATCAGATTGTTATCAAAATGTACCCTCACAGATCGAAACTATAAGGAAAATGACTGAAGACACTAAGGAAAAAACATTGGAGAATCATGGAAAACTGGAGAAAAGTAAATATCAAATGGAAAACAAAAGAGAAAACATGAAACAGCTGATCAAGAGACTGAAGAATTTTTTGCTAGGTAAATGTGCTATTCTTTCTCTCCCGTTTTCAGTATATGTCGTGCGAAATAAATTCAGCGTTGCAGGCATGTTAACAAAATTAAAATGATATTATTAATATCAGCAACTGTTCTTCATATCAAGAACTGACCATTAAAGTAATTCAGGTATGTTACAGCATTATAGAAATGTGGGGAAAGGGTTCTGTGCATATACACAAACAGAATGCTAATAAATAATACACTAATGTGTATATACACAAATAAGAATATTAATAAATAATTAGCTTCCTAACAGGCTGGGGAATTCTAGCAATTGAATTCCACACATCTTGAGATCTGAGGTTGAAACATTGATCTAAAACAATGCACAAAAAACAACAATTAGATAATAAAACATTATTTTTAATGGGTGGCATGGTGGTTAGCATGCAGTATTGCAGGCAAACTCTGCCGACTGCCAGCTGCCAGTTCGATCAACCTTGACTGGCTCAAGGTTGACTCAGCTTTCTGTCCTTCCGAAGTCATTAAAAAGAGGACCTACATTGTTGGGGGCAATAGGCTGACTCTATAAACTGTTAAAGAGGGATGTAAAGAGTATGAAGCAATATATAAGTCTAAGTGCTAGTGCTATTGTTATTTAAACTGTGGTGGCACAGTGGTTAGAAGGCAGTATTGCAGGCAGACTCTGTCCATAGCCTGGAGTTCGAACTTGACCGGCTCAAGGTTGACTTAGCCTTCCATCCTTCCGAGGTCGGTAAAATGAGGACCCCGATTGTTGGGGGCAAGATGCTGGCTCTGTAAACAGCTTACAGAGGGCTGTAAAGCATTGTGAAGAGCTTTATAAGTCTAAAGGCTATTGCTATCTAAGTCATGATGGCGCAGTGGTTAGCATGCAGTGCTGCAGGCTAATTCTGCCAACTGACAGCAGTTCGATCCTGACCTGCTCAAGGTTGACTCAGCCTTCCATCCTTCCAAGGCCAGTAAAATGAGGACCCCGATTGTTGGGGGCAAGAGGCTGACTCTGTAAACTGCTTAGAGAGGGCTGTAAAGTCTAGGATGCAAAGTTTTGACCCTACATACTTCCCTCCTCACTTTTCTAAGAGGAAAGTGCCCCGCCGGAGGATATAGAAAAAGTTGCAAATTATGTTCTGGCCATCAAGATGCACGAAGGACCTCAGGAGCTGCCAGACCTTCTCAACAACCTCAAGAGTCTCATAACACATTGTGAGGACAGCACAAAATATACCCAAAACTTAAAGAAACAAAAGGAAGAGCCAGAGAAGCTTTTGAAGAAAGCCAAAGAAGCTGAGTAAGTAATGTGTTTTCTTATTTGTACTGATAGGTGAGACTACAGGTAGTCCTCAACTTACAACAACTCACTTAGTGACCGATCCGAGCTACAACGGAACTGAAAAATGTGACTTATGATCATTTTCACACGAATGGCCATTGCAACATCCTCATGGTCGTGTGATCAAAATTCTGACTCATGTTTATGACGGTTGCAGTGTCCCGGGATCATGCCATCGTCTGAGAAGCAAAGTCAATGGGGAAGCTTGATTCACTTAACAACCGTGTTACTCACTTAACAGGTGCAGGGATTAACTTAACAAATGTGGCAAGGAAAGTCGTGGACTGTGGCAAAACTCATGTACCAAATTTCTCACTTGCGCTCAGCTGTGGTCGTAAGTTGAGGACTACCTGTATTTCAACTGTGGGGTCCTTGGTGCTCTCTCAGCTTAGCTGTTTTCTTGAAGATGTTTCATTATCCAGTTAGATAACATCATCAGTGATAAAGGGAGTGGCCAATGAGAACAAATTGCAGTCCCTTCAAGCACTGTGTTGTGGCCTGCCAGCGGCCAGAGAAGCTGGCAGTGGACTCGGACAGTGAGGAGGTTGGGGGGGAACATGGGCCAGTCCTGGAGTCTGGGGAAGGCTCTGATGAGGGCTCTGCATCAGAGGCAGAGATGGGGCACAGGCCGTCCAACAATTATCAGCTGCCTTTGGAGTCGGAGATCAGTGGGGCAGAAGAGCAGCTGGAGCCTGTTCCCAGTATGTTTATGCGCAGAGCTGCCAGGAGAAGGGAACACTTAAGGAACAAGGGTCAACTCTGGAGTAATGGCCACAGGTGGATGGTGAATGGCCCCTCCCATAAGAAATAAAGAGGAGTGAAAAGGGAGTGGGGTTTGCAGGAACCGATTGGTTCAATTCATTAGGGTGAAGAACTGTTTGTGACTCCTTGCCAAGTATTGTCTGCTACAGTGTGGCATTTGGAAGACATTGGCCTAGCAACTCTCCAAGCCTGATAAAGGTTTGTAGTTGTGAAATCTCTTGAAAGACTGTTGGCTGGGACTTTGCTGGAGAGGAATTCCCTTTAACCTAAATAAAAGGGGTTTTATCAGGACGAGGAGTTGGCTTCATGCTTTTGGGAAGACTAGGTCAGAACATACTGATGATGTTCCCTAGTTGGGTCATGAAATGTCTGCAGAAAAAAAAAAAAGTTCAGAGAGCACCAAGGGCCCCACTGTTCTCCTCCGCTCCACAAACTCCACTCCCTTCTAGCACTGATGGTGTTACCCAGTTGGGTAATGAAACATCTGCAAGAAAACAACCAAGCTTAGAGAGCACCAAGGACCCTAACAATGTCTTATTTGTATTTGTGATCATCCAATGCAAACCCCTGAAAATGGATATTCTGATTTGGCTAAACGTATCCCATAATAACTTTTGAATCATTCAGTGAGAAAAACAATGTCAACTGAGCAATGCAGTTATGATTAAGTCCTTTGTAACTCTAATGTTCTGTTCCATTCTTGTCCTATTTCCTAAATGACATGCAATAAAGATTCACTGGGTTTGCTCATTGGGTTCTCTTTCTTTCTCTAATTATTATATTCTCCTTCCAATTAATACTTCCTAGCGTGCAGATTTCTTGCTTCTTTCAAGGTATGTCTTTCTTTTTTTTTAAACTCAGGGATAAAACAAAAGCTCTCACCACGGCTGATGAAATTATAAGCCACCTGAAAGAAGTAGAAGTTACTCAGCAACAAACCCAAGATGCCTTGGCAACTTTCAATGAGAAAATGGAAAAAACAATAGCAAATATTTCAGAGGTATCCTTGGTCCACTCAAAGATCGTAAATTAAAGCAGGTGATATTTATCTATGGAGATTCTCAGTCATCCAGATCATTGTTGTCCCAAAAGTGCTTCTTTCAAGAAGCAACTGGACTTTCTGGTTTCTTTTTAAAGACGTTTCGCTTCTCACCCAAGAAGCTTCTTCAGCTCTGACTGGATGGTGGGGAATGAAAGGATTTATACGTCTTGCAGACAGCTGGTCATTTGAATCCTTTTAGAGGGTCGTTGAGGCTACTTGGAGGTTTATCTGTATATCTCCGGATGACTGAGAATCAGTCTAGACAATTCGGGATGAACACCCTTGGAATGGAGTAGGAACGAATTCCCAGAGGAAAAATTGCAGACCAGGAACCAGGACCACTACTCAGGTAGCCCTGAGGACACAGATTAAACCTCCAAGTGGCCTCAATGACCCTCTAAAAGGATGCAAATGACCAGCTGTCTGCAAGGAGTATAAATCCTTCCATTCCCCACCATCCAGTCAGAGCTGAAGAAGCTTCTGGGATGAGAAGCGAAACATCTTCCAAGAAAAACCAGAAAAGTCCAGTTGCTTCTTGAAAAAAGCATCTTTGGGACATGTGAGATTTAATTTTTTAACATTCTCTTGTCTTTTTCAATCATTGTCCTCTAACAGTGAGGGCAACCCCTTTAATTAGTTATGTTTCTCGGTGCAGGCTGAGAACCAAATGAAGAAGGCTGCCACTGAGCTGCAGGCTTTTCCAGAAAAACAGTCCAAACTGGCCAACGAAATAGGTTCCCTGAAGACCAAAATGGAGAGGAACAGAATCCAAGCCATAGATGCAAGATCAAAGGCAGAGGAAGCCCAAACTCAAGCGACAGCGAGTAATAAGGTAAAATGCCATTTGAACATCCTTGTTTATCCCCCTGAAAAAAAAAGGGGGGGGGGAATTATGACCACTTTTCACACTTCCAACCACTGTAGAATTCCCTATGGTCACGTGATCAAAATTTCGACGCATTTATACAGACTCTGTTCCTTGTTTTTTTTTAGGAGCTTGCTAATCTTGAACACAAATACAGCAACTTGCAAGACAAACTTCTGACCCACGGAGTTACGTTAGAAACTTTGGAGAAACTCAACTGGTTGAAAAAAGAGGCGGAAGAACTGGCTAATGAGACCGCGGAGAAAGTGAAAAGAATCACTGGTAATTTACATCACTTGTATGCACATAGATAGAGACCAATGGTGGGATTCAAAATGTTTTACTACCTGGCTTGGAGGGCGTGGCAGGGGAAGGTTACCGCAAAATCCCCATTCCCTCCCCACCCCACTAACCTGCTTTCCAGCTCCCTTCTCCTGTGCAGGGCAACCAAAGGAGACCCAGCCAATCAGCTGGGACTCAGTGGGAGGTAGAGAGTAGATTGGGGCAGGGCCAGTCAGAGGTGCTATCTGCCAGTTCTCTGAACTACTCACAATTTCCGCTACCGGTTCTCCAGAACTGGTCAGAATCTGCTGAAGACCACCTCTGATGCAGACTGGGTGAAACCAGGCTTAACAGCAGTAACTGGGAGACGGATTTTGGAGTCTTAATGGACAACCAGCTAAATATGACCAGCAGTGTGCGGAGGCAGCCAAAAAAGCCAATGCAATCCCAAGTTGCATTAACAGAGGGATACAATCGAGATCAAGGGAGGTACTAATACCACTCTATAAAGCCTTAGTAAGACCACACCTAGAGTACTGCATCCAGTTTTGGTCACCACACTATAAAAAAGATGTTGAGACTCTAGAAAGAGTGCAGAGAAGAGCAACCAGGATGATGAGGGGACTGGAGACTAAAACATAATGAAGAACGATTACAGGAACTGGGCAGGGTAATCTGACGAAGAGAAGGACCAGGGGAGACAGGAGAGCAGTCTTCCAATATTTGAGGGGTTGCCACAGAGAGGAGGAAGGGTCAAGCTATTTTCCAAAGCACCTGAAGGCCAGACAAGGAACAATGGGTGAAAACTGATCAAGGAGAGATTCAACCTGGAAATAAGGAGAAATGTTCTGACAATAAGAGCAGTCCACCCATGGAACAGAAGTTGCCTTCGGGAGTTGTGGGAGCTTCATCACTGGAAGAAGAGTCTGACTGCCCTCTGTCAGAAATGGTGTAGGGTCTCCTGCTTGGGCACAAGCGAGGGTTGGACTATATGAGCTCCAAGGTCCCTTCCAACTCTGTTAATCTGTTTACCTCTGTTTACATGCCTTGCTTTGGTTATTTTTAGATCTGGAAAAGAAGATACAAGATTTGAACCAGATTAAACAGCAAAAGGCGGATCAGCTGAAGCAGCTGGAGGATCAAGTTATAGCCATTAAAAACGAGATAGCTGAGGAATCCGACAGACACGCTACTTGTAAAAGTTAGGCTCGAAGAACGTGGCACCCTGTGGGGAAATCGCTGAATACCTGTCTGTAAATGGTTTGCAATAATGATGAGCATTAGATAAGCTACATAGTTATTATAATGCAAAGGTGGTACTGTATATACCAGTGGTGGCTAACCTTTTTGTGCTCCTGTGCCAAAAATTGTGCACACACTTGCACGCTCATGCTCACGTGCCAGTACCCAGAAGGCAATGCGCCCCCTCATGCCCCCTACACATGCGTGCGCAATCCCCCCCCCCCCCCGCTGCCCCCTTACTTGCACTGCGCCTTACAGCTGATTTTTGGCTGGTTTGAGGCCTTTTTTGACCTCCCAGAGGCTTGAGGAAGGCTTTGCAGGCTTCTGCAGGCTTTGCAGACCAAAAACTAGGCCCGTTTCGTCACTTCCGGTATTTTTGGGAAAACAGGAAGTGGTGAAATGGGCCTAGTTTTTGGCCTGCAAAGCCTTCAGAAGCCTTCCTCAAGGCTCTGTTTGGCCAAAAAAGGCCTCAAACCAGCCCAAAATCAGCTGTGAGGCGCACGTATGCAAAGTGAAGTAAGTTTGCCTGCAATCTAACCTTATGGATTTTGCTTGTCAAAAGTCCACAAAGGGGTATGATGTAACCCCTCCGGGACACTGAAACCATCATAAATGTGAGTCAGTTGCCAAGGGTCTGAATTTTGATCACATGACCTTGGGGATGCTGCAACGGTCATAAGTGTGGAAAAACAGTCAGTCACTTTTTTCAGTGCTGTTGTAACTTTGAATGGTCACTAAATGAACTGTTGGGAGTCGAAGACCAGCTGTATTGAGTAGATGGTGTTCTGAGGTAAATCTTACTCCCATTTATTCCGAACCACGTCTCTTTAAATTCAGTGCCTCATTCTAAGTGTGTATAATTATTCCTCGACTTAACCATTCATTTTGTGGCCATTCAACATTACAACAATGTGAAAAAAATGACTTATTGTTGTGGTTCGCAGGCAGCCAGTGCAGATGGTAGCAGAGTCAGGCAGTGGGGAAGAAAGGGGACCAGTCTGGGAGTCTGGAGAGGACTTGGACAAGGGTCCTGTGTCTGGTGCAGGGATGGGGCCAGAACCATCTGGAAGTGGGGTGCTGCCTTTGGACCTTCAGACTCTGGCAGCAGTGAGGCAGAGGAACAAGGGGAGCCTGGTCCCGGTGCATATGTGCACATGGCTGCTAGGAGGCAAGAGCAGCTGAGACAAAAGTGGACACTCAGGAGTAAGGCTGGGAGGTGATTGCCCCTCTCATAAGGGATAAAAGTCAGACCTCAATGACAAAAAGTTTTGCAGGAAGCAAAGTAGTTCAATAGATTCCGAGTCCTCCTTGAAGCTCTGTGTACTCTGGCTGGTTTTTTTTTCTGGTACTTTGGTTGGTTTCTTTTATAATTAATTGGATACTTCTGTTTTTGGTAGCATTCCACAGCACTGAAAGGTATGTGCTTATCTTGGGGAACTGTTTAAGATTAGTTCTGGTTGGTAATGAAAGCAATTCTCAGCATTGCAATAAAATAGGTTTTGCTTTTAAATCAAGTTTGTGATTAATTACGTTTGACAAAGCCTGGGTGAGAACACTTTTGACCATTTCTCATACTTACGACTATTGCAGCATCCCCATGGCACGTGATTGAAATTTGAATGCTTGGCAACTGATTCATATTTATGACAGTTGCAGTATCCCGGGGTCATGTGATTCCCTTTTTTGTGACCTTCTGACAGTCCAAATTGGTGGGTTAAGCCAGATTCACTTAAATAACAACCATGTTACTCACTGAACAACTGCAGGGATGAAAATTCACTTAACAACGGTCTTGCGCAAGCCAATTTTATGAGTCTATATTTCAAGTTACGTTTTTGTTTGGCTAAGTAGGAAATAATAATAATAAGGAACAGTATTAAATTGGTTTGAAAGAGTCACCTTGCAACTTGACCCTCTTCCAAAAAATCTCTTTTAAGATTCTTAAAGCAGTTGGGTCAAATCAGGTAGCTACTTTCATTGTACAAAAGAGCTACTTTAAACATACTTCAATAGTAGGCAAAGCACTTCTAAACTATTTTGAATTAAGCTCAAACCTGTGCATGTACAGACATAAAAGTTTTCTTCTCTGTTAAGATTCCAGGTGTGTATACATAAAACATTGTTTAACATTCCCCGCAAACTTGCCAAAACTAAGCTAATCCTTTTTTGCACCTATTAATTTAAAGCTAAATAAGATTAAAATGGCACGATTGTTGCTTTAATATAATCAAACATCTGAAGCAGCTAGATGGAATTTGTTTTGGTCATAAACCATAGTTACATTTTTAATTGGCTTGGAAGTTACAGCAGCACTACGTATTCCACATATTACAATGATAGCAAATTCTCAGTGTGCGAGTGTACAGATGCTAGCATCCACTAATATAAATTCTGTTGTGGTTGTGTTGATTCTGTTGTTCATTGGATCATTTTAGTCTGGGCTGCTTGTCTGATTTAATGTTTTTAGATTTTAAAAAAATGTTTTTTCCCCAGTTTTATACACAGCTCAGAGTCTACTGGAGTTGGTTAGCTAATAAATTTAAAATAAAAATGTTTTATAAGCTTATACTCGTCAACATTATTAGTCATTGTTTTAATGTTTTACAAGTTTATATTATAGTCTTACCAGCTTTAAATGTTTGTAAGCTGAGCACAGTCTCTTCTCAGCAAGATGGGTGGCATATGTCAAATAGACAAACTTCACTTCAGACTAGATAGATAGATAGATAGATAATAGACGGATGGATAGATAGATAGGCAGATAGACAGATGATAGATGGGTGGATAGATGGATAGATAGACAGACAGACAGACAGATAGGCAGATAGACAGATGATGGATGGATAGATAGATAGATAGATAGATAGATAAAGGCAGATTGATGATAAACAGATAGATAGATAGATAGATAGATAGATAGACAGACAGACAGACAGACAGATAGATAGATGGGCAGATAGGCAGAGACAGACGATAGACAGATGGATAGATAGATATACATTCATTCATACATACATAGATAATAGATGGATGATAGTAAGGAAGGAAGATAGATAGATGATAGATGGATGATGGATGGATGGATGGATGGATGGATAGGAAGTAAGGGAGGGAGGAAGATGGGTGGATGGGTAGGTAGGTGGGTAGGTAGGGAAAGAAAGAAAGAAAGAAAGAAAGAAAGAAAGAAAGAAAGAAAGAAAGAAAGAAAGAAAGAAAGAAAGAAAGAAAGAAAGA